ACACACATACATACAGTATATATATATATATATATATATATATATTCATTATATATACAATATAATGTAGATCTGCAAAAATTCAATAAATAAAATTTGTACTACTTTATGGATTTAATCTTTGCAAATGTCCGTCACTGATGTTCACATTTCTATGAATGGTGTTTTACTCATGAATGTCATTTTACTTGTTGAGTTTTGATGATAACTATGTTAATTAAATGTATGTAATGTAAATGTAAATGATTCAAATAAATTAATTTTGTTTAATGTACCATCTTGGTTTGTTTAATAATGATAAAACATAAAAAACAACAACCAAAAAAACCTTTCCCAAAAACGGGGGCTGATCGGTTTCAATCTAAACAAACATTTCAATCAGCTTTGATGATTCCAAATCAAATCTTTTTAAATTAACATCATTAATAACTATAGCTACATTAAATGTGTCATTAAATCGCACACATTAACTTTGACAAAGCTAAAATAAAAACGTCTCTGACCTCCTGTCGAAGACCCTAGAAAAGAAAGATGACATTTACAGCCATGAATAGTGATAGAAAATGAAAAAGGAAACTTTCCAGGAGGAAGCGCCGTCTTCAGCAGTGCTGCAGGGCCACAGGCTAACAGAGCTCAGGACGGCAGTCACCCTCACTGCTGATGTGTGAGTCAGAGAGACACAGAGAGCAGGAGAATTATAGTCCATACCTCAGTGGTTGACAACACAGTGTCCTCATCCAGACTTAACACTGCATCGCTGATGATACTGTCATAGGGCTGAAACCGACTGCTCATGACCTACAGAGAGAAAAGAAATATGTACGGTCAGATTTTATCTAAAGACTTCAGATAGAAAGCTTGTATAAAAGGAAAATGCCTCTCTTCATATTTTTCTCTGTTTGGATTAAACTCCAAATATTTGGTTACTGTTGTGCATGTGTGGTTGATCACTAATAAGATGCAGAAATTTACAAAACGAGACACACATTGAAGTCCTGTCACAGACGCATACAACAACAGGCCACCCACACACATCCCCTCACAGTGCTTCATAAACATGCAAACATTTCATTTAACTTTTGTCAAAACACATATGGACAAATCAAGCCTCAATGGCACTAAACGTCAAAACAGTGTCAGGAAGGTCATAAATACACCGAAAGAAGACGGTGTCTAAAAGCACAACTAAACAGGAAATAACACACATGTGCTTCCCATTGTAAATCCCCCCTCAGTCACACGAGCAGTCTGCCAGCAGTGCCCG